GGAAACGCAAACCGAGCCGTACCGTACTGAGCCGTGCCATGCCGAGTCGTACCACGCAGTGGAAAAGCGCCACAACCCCAACCGAGGTGGTACTAAAAAAAGTACCAGGTACTGTACCCAGTGGAAAACCGCCCAAAAGTGAACCGTACGGAACCGTACCATGCTGTACCATGCAGTGGAAAAGCGCCATTAGTTTAATAGTCATGTACTCTGAGTAGATCTACACTGGCTCCTTTGTCATTGAACCAAGTGATTTCCATATGTTGCATGACTACAGTATATATCAAATATGCCCACAGTCCATTAACGCTCGAGTGAGCGCACCGAGAAAACCCCCCAAAAGACTGAACCGGTGGGGAGCCGTACCGTGCAGTGTAAAAGCGCCATTTTGGAAACGCAAACCGAGCCGTAACGTACTGAGCCGTGCTGAGCCGAGTCGTACCACGCAGTGGAAAAGCGCCACAACCCCAACCGAGGGGGTACTAAAAAAAGAACCAGATACTGTACCCAGTGGAAAACCCCCCAAAAGTGAACCGTACCGAGCCGTGCCGTACCATGCAGTGGAAAAGCGCCATTTGTGTGTGTGTGTGTGTGTGTGTGTGTTGTGTTTAAATGGACCTATAGACCTGGACCTCAGCCAGTGGAAGAGACCTTTACTCTGAATATGTAGTTTCACCACGGCCGACATTTGATTATCCCTATAAAGTCTGCTACATGTTTGCACATTATTTGATTCTGTCTAAGAATCCCCCATTTAGAGAGGATGGGGCTTCCTGAGTGGCTTGTGAAACTGTCAGCTGTGGTTTGTTTTTTTTTAATGTGAGATTTAGTGAGGATGAAATGTAAAATAACAAAATTCATGGAAGTTCTTTTGGTTAGAATTTTTGTAATATGACTTTGGTTTTCAAAGGATATCCTGTTTACTTGCTACTAAGTACCTCAAATAAAACTCTTGATTATCTGTCATGTTCGATGTCAAGAGTCTTAAAAACGTGTGTAAGCAGCAAACATGGACCCTGAACTCTAAGAAGGTGCGTAGCAGGGACCCTGACCCTTTGCAGTTTTGTCCTTCCTTCCCCCTCCAATAATTATATTTTATACGAGTATAAATTATAATAAATCTAAAATAGGGCTGGGCGATTTTTTCACTGTCACTCCACAATACAATAGCAAAATATATAAATATGTATAGTAAAATATGTAAATATGTAAATATGTTCCTTCCTAAGGAAAGGATATGGACCAGAAGACATTGCAATTACGAAATGACTTAAATAAGTTCCAGATCTATACTTGTGCTCTTATTATTTCAGTTATTTTGCCTTTAATGTAAATAAACGTGCAAACAATATACTTGCTCTTGTGAATTTATTTAGATATTAATTACATTGTGCCTGCTGTCTCTTTAATACCGCGTGGTTTATATACATGTTGCTGCTGATTGGGCTGACATTTTTGACACACCCACCAAACAAGAGAAAACGTATCTCAAACCCCGTTGCACACCGTTTCCAGGAATATGTCGTTTAACCCGGAAACCGTAGCAAAACGTTGCGCACCGGTTTGAGCTTGAACTTGCCCCAGACTTCCCCTTAAGGCAAAAGGTGGATAGGCCTAAATCGGATAGGTCGAATATAGTTTAAAGGTGGCTTAAAGGCAGGTTCACCACAAGAACAATATTAGCGTCCACACTAGACAATAACTTTATATTGTAAGCGCACGCTGCAGTTATGTCTTTACCCTGATAGCACACATGTACATCACGGTCTATTTGATGTCTGCAAGACGTATTTTTTGTTTTTTATTTAGAGTTTTTGCTTATCTGCAATAGGTCTATAGGATGTTTCCTATAAGATGTCAAATAGACGTTTAGAAGATGTCTTTAAGATGTTTATGATTTAGAATGTAAATAAAACTGACATCTTAAAGATGTCTATCAGATGTTTGTACACAGCAGATGCTTTCCAGATGAAGCGATCTTTAACAGACATCTTGCAGACGTACGTGTGCTATCTGGGCACTAAAATGCTCTAGCTCTTTAAAGCAGAGTGGATGTCTTGTTTTAATCCTGCTGAAATTAATTCCACTGATATCATTCCTCTCTGTGGTATGGTTATCATTACAGCCGTGTTGTGGACTTCCCTATATTCTCATAGAGTTAGAAAGATTATTCAAACTTCATAGTTATCGTTATCATTATGGTCATTATCGTGAACAGGCCTTAAGGCTATGGTCCATATGGAGTACTAGCTTTAATGAATACTGCAGGAATATACGCTATATGCTGATTGCTATTTTTTGAAAAATGGTAAGTGAAATTAAAATGGCATAATGTTTCAAACAGTAGCTTCTATGCAACGTTGTCAGATTACCTTATTAAGTTGTATATTTAGTTCAGCGAGTTCCATATAGTCTAAGAAATAAAAACCGCTTTTAATGCATTTTTTTTATCCAGTTTGTGTAAAATTGTCAACGTTTGTTGGTCCAATTAAATAATGAGTCAAGAAAGAGGTGTTAATCACAGCTGAGCTGATATTCTTTCAGGATCATCTATCACACTGTAAGGGGAAGGTCATGTCAAGCACATTTTGGAATGCTCTTCCACAGTAAGCTTTTCACCTTGGGTAGTAATCTATGCATAGAGAATATATGATACTTCTTGGCGTGCACAGGATGTATACACTGTATTATGTAGCAATAGTAAGTAGTATGCAAGTATCCATGACTTGCTTTATGCTTTTGGCGGATTACAGCGACACCCAGTGTTCAGTTGTAGTCATAGACTTGATATTCACAAATCCTAAACAATATTTTGAATTATGTTCTTATTATGTTCTTAATACAGAATTATTCACAGTGCTACATTAATATAGTCATGAATTATTGAAAAAGCATGTATTTTGTGTGGAATCTTGGTCCTCACTGGGGCGTTGGAATTAAAATATAAAGTAGGCCACAGGCATGGGTTTTTAGAAGTAATGATTATCTCCTAAAATAGATTTTTTTAATGATTTAAAAGTTATAATGATTGCAGTAACTTCTCTCTGCATTCTCTGTGTGTGGCTTGCTCACAGTCCGCTGTTCCCTTGACTTGCGATATTGAACCCCTGGCCTTGATACATGAGCCATATCTTCATAACAGATTCCTCGTTTTTTTGTGGACTTCCTCAGCCCATTTGAGGTTTGAGTTCAAGGTGCCGTATTGCACAGCTGCTGTAACTGCCACACACTCCCATCGCTCCCCTCCAACACTGAGGCAAACATTGCTGCCACCAAAAAGGGAAAAAAAGGCAGAACAACAGCTCTCTGTCTCAGAGCTTAAACAATATTGCAGGTGCAAAGATAACAGAGTCAAGACTTGGAATTTATATTGTGCCTCAGTTCATGTAAGCACACTCCGCTTTACTTTCTTGTGGATGTCCAGGGAAGGATTTATTAGATGTACCATAAGTCCATTCAACTTTTATACTTTCTCTGAGATCCTCTCTCATACTGCGTTTGGCCTGCGAGGTTATTGTGACCTTGAACAAATAATTCCATGCAGTGCTAAAGGACTGAAATATTTGTGATAAGAGGGAGCGATGGCAAGGGGTTAAAAATGTCTATTTAGTTTCAGCACACATGGGAACTAAAATAACACAGACAACAAAACGGTTTGAATGGAACAGGAGGTTTTTATATTGTGTATTTATTATTTTTTTTTAAATGACTACTGTTTTTGGTTATTAAAAATGAACAAATATACCAAATACACTCCTCATGGATCACAATTTCTTTCTTTTTGAATTTGTTTTTTTTTGCATGTTGTCCCTTTGCCACCAGTATCGTATCAGCGCAAGCCTTAAAGGGATAGATAGACAGAATAAAATTTGTCATAATTTACCCAAATGTTCCAAAACAACACTGGACCCCCCTGACTTTCATTGTATGGACCCCCCTCAAAAAAAAAAAAGTACCTTCTTTTCCACAGAAGAAAACACATACAAGTATGGAACAATGTGAGCATAAGTACATGATGACAAAATTTTCATTATACTAACTATATCTCTAAATTTGATAACTTTTCCACAAGTACATTTCAAGAAATAACACAGACAACAAAACGGTTTGAATGGAACAGGAGGTTTTTATATTGTGTATTTATTATTTTTTTTAAATGACTACTGTTTTTGGTTATTAAAAATGAACAAATATACCAAATACACTCCTCATGGATCACAATTTCTTTCTTTTTGAATTTGTTTTTTTTTGCATGTTGTCCCTTTGCCACCAGTATCGTATCAGCGCAAGCCTTAAAGGGATAGATAGACAGAATAAAATTTGTCATAATTTACCCAAATGTTCCTAAATTGTATGACTATATTTCTTCCATTGAATCACAAATGTTACACCGAAGAGTGTTTCAATTGTCATTTGACCATATAGTGCAATTCAATGTGATCCAAAACAACACTGGACCCCACTGACTTTCATTGTATGGACCCCCCTCAAAAAAAAAAAAGTACCTTCTTTTCCACAGAAGAAAACACATACAAGTATGGAACAATGTGAGCATAAGTACATGATGACAAAATTTTCATTATACTAACTATATCTCTAAATTTGATAACTTTTCCACAAGTACATTTCAATAGTATTAATTAATTTGCTGCATGCTAATAATGCTGCATGCTTGTTGAAAGATGTGAAGATCTACATTATTCATAGTAAAGATATCACCTAGTCTCAATTTTTGTGCATGAATGCATGCAGGATATCAAAGATATATGCCTATCAGGATATCAAAGGTCAATCAAGCAGCATCTTGTAAATGGTATAATTATTTCTAAAGACATCTGAATCGTTTGACCTGAGAGGTCAAGCACTATCAATATGAGATGCCTTTACCCTATTCCACACTGTAGAAACCTTCAAGAATTTAATATCCAGATTCCATGTTTTTCCTTATTTATCCTCATTTCAGCCTCCAAGCAGCATATTTTGGTGGACTGAGTTAGTGGTCAGTACACTTGGGCGATGTGACCCAGGGAATACAGTGTTCCATCACTAGTCTTTGGTGAAGGCACCTTGGCTCCGTTTTGCCCCGAAGAGATCTCTGTGCGGTAAATGTGCGCACGTGTTTTAAAGCAGCCGAATTGGCTAGTCAGAATGAAGAAATCCCTCTTGAAGGTTTTGGTGAAGAAGGCGTAGAGAAACGGGTTAGAGCAGGAATTTATGGGGTAAAAAAGCACTAGCAAGACTTTGGCGTGAGAAACTGTGATTAGCGGTAGTTTTAAGGCTGCGGAGATGGCAAAAAACGAGATGGGAGCCATACACAGGAAGTCAGTGAAGATGAGCACAGCCATGCGCTTTGCTATACGCATGTCCGCATTGGCAGGAACGAAGGTGGGATTGTGGACGGTAAGGTAGATGCGCATATAACAGACACATACGATTAGAAAAGCAGCTACATTGAGTAGGAGCAACAGCACCACGTAACCTTGTGAAATCACTGTTTCTACATCCATTGGCAGACAGATGCTGGTCTTCTTGTAGCTACTCACTCCAAAAACGGGCATCAGAGCAGTAAGCAGGGCGAAAAGCCACCCAGCTGCCATTATTGCACAGGCATGGCGCAGGCGCATCTGGCGTTCCCGCTGCATGGCGTAAGTGATGGTGTGCCAGCGCTCCAGGGTAATGGCAGTCAGAGTGTAAACAGACAGCTCGCTGGAGAAGACTGTGAAGAAGCCTGCCACATGGCACCCAGCTCCCGTCTGCCAGTCGATGCCATAGTTGTAGTAGCGGGACTGTGTGTGAATGTCCTTGGCAGCGATGATCAACAGGTAAATGCCCATGCAAAGGTCTGCAAATGCCAGGTGGCACATTAAAAACCTGGGAACAGTCAGTTTGTAGCGACTCGAAAGGAGCACCAGGAGGACAGCACAGTTGCCCACGATGGCCAATATACTTATGAACCAGATCAGAACCCGCAGGAACGTAAAACCCATGATGTCCTCGCAGGGGTTGAATGCATCTGGTGTGGGGTAGCAGGTCACTTCTATTACATCCTTACAGTGGTCTTCAAAAAAGTATGGCTCTTGGAGGAGGGCACCAGAATCGTTACACATTTGATTCTTCACAGACCTGTGAAAACAGAAATAATATATGAGTGTATAGATGAGTTTTCAAGAAAATGAAAATATTCTATCACCATTTACTCCTGTTGTTTTAATCCTAATCCTCATGTTGTTTTAAACCTCTTTGTCTCTTTTCCAGACAATGAAAGTAAATGGTGACCAGTTCTTAAAATGACAAATACGCATCATAAAAGCAGTCCAGTACAAACTTTTGGTCTCTAATTGACTTTAGAAAACTTGGAATTTAGAGCAGGCAGGGCCATCCTTAGGGCAGTGCAACTGGTGCCCTGCGCTTGAGGGGTCCCCCGCGGTGAACGTGGGAAAAGGTTAAATATTTATGCATTGCCATGAGATTGTGTTGGATGTTTTACAAAAATATTCGGTCCAATTTTTGCATGTAATTTGTCTGTTCAGACCAATACATAAAAAAAATCAGACCGAATGAATGAAAATGCAAATTCACTCTCTGACAGTAGGTGGCGCTTAAAAAAAGCAGAAATTACTACGATACTCAAAATGCTGCAAAACTTTCTGTTTCTGATCCCTGCTTGTCACAGAGAAGAAAGGAAGAAAAACAGTATTTACATATTTTCAAACAGCTGTTCAGATTTTTGTATTCGCTATAGTGCTTATTAAACCCATAGACTGTATAAAAACATGGACGTAGTGTCCGTGACGTCACCCGTAGGTTTCTGAAGAGCATTTTTGAAGCCTAAAGTGGGCGGAGCCAGCCATCTGCATCTTGGCAGCCACGCCCTTCATTATGCAAAACTTTAAGGTTTAATATCATTTAAACGGATGAGTTATAAAAAAAAATCACGCCTCTCACAGTTGTCATGAAGGGCAAAATTAGCTATATAGACCAAAATCATAAGTACCAGGCTGTAAACATTTTTTTTTCCTGCTGTAAGTTGGGCATTTTAACATGGGGGTCTCCTTTTGTAAAAGAAAGAAAACCACAGAGGTTTGGAATGATATAAGGATGAGTAAATTATGACAGAATAAACTTTTTTTTAAAGCAGTGTGTAACTGACTTGTGCTTCTTGAAGTTTTTGAAGGCACAGCAGTGGCTGGGGTAGGTCAGGTTGGCCTGCGTGAGCTCAGTAAATAGCTCCAGGCTGGGAAGCCTCTTTAGAGAGTAGACAGAGATGGCCATCAGAAGCTTAAGAGTCCGCAGCATGTTTTCTGGCAGGGTGTGGACAGCAGTATGTGAGATGTCTCTGTAATGACAGCAGCCATTTCAGTGTCCAGTGCAGGATTGGGTGTACTTAGCTTGTTGTTGAACTAAACCAGGTAACAGAGGTTAGTGTGAGTGAAACAGGCATTGCTGTGAGAGTTTGTCCTGAGGACACAGAGTGGGTGTGTGGTGCTCCAGCTGGTGAGTTGTATTGTTGTTGAAAGTCAGAGTTGTTCATGCTTACAGAACGATGGGGCCTTCAGCTCCTATAAAGGCGTATCTGTGGATATGACTCAGCTGCTGGTTTCCCATGAGAAAGCTGTGAGAAAGAGAGAGAAACGGATTAGATGAAAGATTAGCGGTTTTATGCGAGATGCTAATTTATGAATATAAAAGATGTAACAGAACTCACAGTTTTTCAATTCTGGTACCATTGAATGCATAGCTGTCTATCGCACGGATCCCATTCTTTGTTAGTCTCCTGCAAGAGTACATTAAGTTAGACCAGTTTCCAGTTTTTTTATAAAGAAGTCATGAAATAAAGGTTTTCTATTTTAATATATTTTACAATGTCATTTATTCTTGTGATGGCAAAACTAAAATTTTCACCAGCCATCACTCTGGTCTTTAGTGTCACATGGCCCTTCAGAAATCATTCTAATTTGCTGATTTGGTGCTCAAGAAACATTTCTCATTATCATCAGTGTTACAGTTGTGCTACTTAATTTTTTTTTTGTGACAACCATGACACATGTTTTAAGATCCTTTGAATGAATAGAAAGTTCAAAAGAACAGCATTTATCTGAAATATTATTTTTTTTGTAATGTTATAAATGTTTTTACTGTCACTTGAGATCAGTTTAATGTGCTGAATAAAAGTATTAATTTCTTTAAAAAAATCTTACTGACAAAAAAAAACTTTAAACGGTAGTGTATATACAGTAAAAATGTGTTAATTTAATTTGTTAATTAATCTGTTAACTGAAAGTTTCATTTTTGTGTATGGAAAAAAAAATCATTACATATAATTTTGCTGCAATGTTTATTTTTTGTTATGTACTCCAAGACTAACTTTATTCAATTTAAGTGTGTGCATGCTTTTTCAATAATTCAACAGCCCATCATATTATTCACTCCTCACATAAAGAATAAATCAATCGCACAGTTGTATACTTACAGCTCAGTTATGGTGGCACTGGTCAATCCAAGGAAAGCGTTACTAGGAATCCTATCTATGTGCATGTTATCTTGTAGATCACTGTAACATAGTTTTGATATAGTATAGATTTAACATAGATTAGCTGTACTCTATTGATAATTTCTTTGTAACTATTTACAAATTGTATGCTTTTTGAAAAGGAATCCACCCGAACCAAGTAAAAATATACATTAAGACGGTGACAACATGAGTAGAGGCTTACAATAGAAATTCAAGAGCAGCAGAGTTGATCTTGGAGAAATCAGGCAGGACTTTAAGACCAGTGTTTGATATAGTCCTAAAGGAACACACACACAGACAAGATTAATGAATGTAATACATCAGAGAGACATTTGTATTTTGTCTTTGTAATATACTCCCTTTAAATTGCTGAACCACAGCATGAGACCACAACGATTCAGAGTTTACTAGACAAGAGTAATGAAGACAAAAAAGAACTCACAGATACCGTAGCTTTGGAAGTCTCCAGAAGGCATCTTTGTGCATCACAAGGTTTTTTGATTTTGTAATAGTTCTGTCAGATTAGATAGATAGATAGATAGATAGATAGATAAAAATGATCGGTTTCATATTATTTGCTACAAATTTTGGTTTAAAATTAAACACTAAAATAATTTTTTTTGACAAAAATGTAATTGGATGTAATTTCCACACGTAGTGCAGCAACATACATTTCCTGTAGCTCTGTCAGGTTAGAGAAAGCAAAGGCTTCAATTCGCTCAAGAGCACCATTCTCGGACACCACTCTGAGGAGAAGAATAATAATCATACAGCAACAGATATTATGTCTAAAGCCTTTTAAAACTGATTGCAATATGACAAAATGATTACAAAATCTTAAATACCACGATGCACAATGTGCACTATCTGCTTGATTTCTTTAAAGGAATAATTCACCCAAATATGAAAATTAGCTGAAGAAGTAATCACCTTTAGCCCATCCAAGATGTAGATCAGTTTGTTTCTTCAGTGTCACAGATTTGGAAAAAATTATCACCACTTCACATCACTTGCTCACTAACAGATTCACTTCAGTGCATAGGTGTCGACAGAATGAGTGTTCAAACAGTTGATAATAATCCACAAGTAATCTACATGACTCCAGTCCATCAGTTAACATCTTGTAAAGCAGTAAGCTGTGTGAAACAAATCCATCAGTAAGTTGTTTAGACCTTCAAATCATCGCTTCTAGCTAAAATATCTATCTACATCCTCTATCCATAAAATTGCAAAATTTCTCCAAATCTGTTTCGATGAAGAAACAAACACATCTACATCTTGGATGGCCTGAGGTTGAGTACATTTTCAGAAAATTATTGAATTATTCCTATAGGGGAAGTCAAATCACTATGCAAATACTGATTTATAAATAAAACAGAATATATATATATATATATATATATATATATATATATATATATATATATATATATTTTTTATATATAAAAAAATATTATTTCTGAATAAGAAAAAAAAACACTTGCCAATTTCTCTCTCTCAGGTTTGCAGTATTTTGATACTGTGATACATATGTGTTTGGGTCACTGTTAAACATCATGTTCCATATCAAAGTCTAAACATATTCAAACAAGACTAAATATCATGTGTTTATATGCGGTTTTGCATTAACTGAAAACTAAGCCAAAAGCCAAGAACAGTAGTGAGCATTCAGTAGCAAATTCTCTGGGTTTTAAATAATTGATTGGATTCTTTCTAATCTCCATGTGGTTTCTTGCTGAAAATACACTTCCATGTTTTAATAGTAAACAGCTTGGTGTCCTTCACACTTTGCACTCACATTCTCTTCAGCTTATGTAGTTCAGACAGGGCTGCTCGGTGAAACACGCTGATCTCAGTCAGTTTGATCTCCCTGCTCAAAATTAGACAGAAGAGATGTGATTCACCATCCAACAATTTGTTACCATCAAAGTTATAGTTATAAATAGCACAGTCTATTCAGATGTGAATGTGGTATGAGCAATCCAAAGCCGGCACGTGTATTTCAGTAATAGCAGTTTTTTTTCCTGCTTTCACCAGATCGCCAATCACTTAATTTGAATCTAATTTAATAAGTCAGAAGACACTGCAACCCTTTTGGTGAGCATTTCCAGGTAATAGGCACATCCACAGCTGCTATTTACTGGAATGGAGAGAATACAAATTCTCCTAATGTTTTAATTGAGTGGTCTTTCTCCATTCTATTATAATGTTGGCACCAAGCAGAAACACTTGCTAAAATCAAAACACTCTCATGAAAATTTGTAACTATTGGCAAATTGGTGGCTAATTAGCATGAATCTGAAATTTCATGCTTAATTTTTCCCTCTAAAAATCATAAGTTTCTATACAAATCACATTGCACAAATTTATACAGATTCATGCTTTCAAGCATACCAGCTTCATTTTCTCATGAGATTGGGCTGGTTTAAATTTAGAGTATCTCTCTGTCTGTGTGTGTGTGCATGCTCTAAAAAACTCTTTCCAAGTATATTTGTGAACTTGTACACTAATCTTCCACTTCAGGAATCTAATAGGTTCTCATGAAAGTTAGTATGAGCAGAATGAGTCATTGCAGAAACTAGGTCATTCAAGATGCGAAATGTTATGAGAAATGGAAACACAATTACCAGTAGCCTATTTACAGACTGCAAATAACCTATTTACTGTCAAGATTTTTGTGTAATTCTTATTGCACGCTGTCATTAGTGTCTGTGTGTTCTCCCTGTGGATATTCATTTCTGTAATCCCTCAGAAACGCAGACAGCACAATTACACAAAGCACTCTGGACATGAATGCCTTGTAAAGCATGCGGGTAAGTAAATTGTGCTGGTACAAGAGATACAGATATGAAAGATCACTATAACTTTGTTATATCATAGCTTGACTGTTTTGATCCTTGTTATTTTTACTTATTTGTTCCTGACTGGGTTTGTGGTGGGGTTATCTAAATGGCTGATGGAGGAAGTTTTTATTTTTGTAAGTCCGTTTGGTGTTGTTAGTGGTGCAGAAATTACACACTACAGAAGAGTGCAATGTTTCAGAGACATTTGCCTTGATATTTACAGTTATAAAGAGAGAAAACATCTGCAGCATGAACTATTCCTATCAAGCACAGCACTGTTCGTTCTTGCAGTCCGAGTAGAGAGTCTGACACACTGAGACACACAAGCTGAAAAGATCTTGGTGCTTTTTCCAAAATGGAAAAGTAAAGAAGCCAAAGTAATTAACCCAAAGCGCAGACAGTCATAGTGAGGCTCAGAGCACAAAGGCCCTGTCAGGTTGAAATGTGTGATCCAGCTGGGCATCTTCAGATAGATTGAGCTGGGCAACCTTATCTAAACTGACTGGCAGTCGGTTCAAAACAGAAATACAATCCTGATTAACCTGCTTGTGGAGCCAAAGATGGTTTTATTTCATCTTCATGTTTACCCCTCTCTATTTTTGACTGGTTGAAATAACAAATTACTTCATGGAATACAAGAAAAGCATTTGACATTAAAAACATACTCCCCCATGTCAGGCTTAAGAATTTGTATGAAGGACGATATAGACTTGAGATTACAAAAAATATTTGGGGACTCACAAAAGAAACATGTATTACTTGTCAATCACATTCTCTCCAAACCACAATAACAAGCTCTGGAACAATAACATTGTCACTGAGAATCGCAGGTTTTTAATTAGAATGTCAAGCTTTTGAATGTTGTTTATCACTTTCATTAAGTTCATTAGGTTTCATTAAAATTCTTATTTATTTCATAATTTTTATTTAAAATAAATGTAGGAAAAGTTGATTAAAATATCATGAAATATAGTTTGTTTTTTAATGACAAAAATGCTAAATAAGGTAATTGTATGCAATACGTGAAAAGTCTTCATATTTAATTATTTGTATTTTAATACTATTTTATAGTAACTTGTAATCATAATATTTTTTTAAATAAAAGTGATTATACTTATTTATGTACCTACATTTTATACTTGTATTTTACCATATGAGATCACCATATCAGTGTTATTTTGGTATTCTTTATATACTATTATAATGTTTATTCATATTTTGAATTAGCTGTTAATTTAATATTTTCAGTTTTATTTTTATTTTATTTTTTAAAGTATACATGTTATTTGCTTTTTTTTTTTACTTAAATTTTTTTATGTTAAAGTTGTTGTCATTTTCAGTTAGTTGCCAAGGCAACATTTCAATTTTTTTATCTAATATTTAATATGTATTTATATTAATTATTTATAATATAATAATATATAATATTAAATATTAGATAAAAAAAATTAAATGTTGCACGTTAGTAATTGAGTAATTTTTATAATTTTTTCAGTTAGTTGCCAAGGAAACATTTCTATTTTTTATTTAATATTTATAATATAATAATATATAATATGCATTCATTATATATTTATATAATTAATATCTAATATTGAATACATTTTATTTCAATTCAATTCAATTTAGTTAACAATAAACAACACATACATACTATAGCTACAACATCCAAAACAGCTAGGCAGCATCAAACTATTGGAAGGGATATTTCTAATGTGAAATTCTACATATATGTTATAACTATACATATATTGTAACGTGTGTGTGTTTATACTCACACAAAAGTGGTGTTTTCCGGTATATGTCTTGGCATCTCATGGACGTTGTTGCCCAGACAGAAGAAATTACAAGTCGAACCATTGAATGAACAGAAATGAGATCCAACAAACATGCCTTCTGTGTGTGACATGAACCATCCAAGACTAAAGCACAGCATCTTCAACAAGACCATCCTCTTTATCATCTTCTCTTTCAGGTGGAAAGGTTTGTACAGTGTTTGTGAACTGAGGCCTTTAGTGTAGTGTCCTGAAGCAGCTCCTGGGCTCTGCTGATGTTCAGGTGAGGGCTGGGCTGATTGGTCTTCTTCGTTAGGAGTCTGTTTGTGTGGTGTTTTCTGGTTGTAGTGGTCTGTTCTAGTGAAGCCGCAGGGAGGCTGATCTCTTTCTAAGAGGCGTTCTGGTCAGAAGCTCTACAGCCAGAGTCAAGGGAGACCTTGGGATAGAGGTCCTCTGATAACAAACAAATGTTTTGTTCGTTCCTCCCCTCCAAATCCTTATTTCTCTCCTCCTCTCATCCTTTTCTTCAAAAAGTGAATGCGGTCCTCCCCATCTATACTGAGCTCTGAAAGTCCCAGAAAAGCTACATATAAAGCAGTTTTCCTTTGGCAATATTCATTGTGAAGTTATCATTGTTACTTTCTTTGAAAGTACTGTGTGAACCACTTGGTAAACATCTGTTTTCCTTTTCACAAATTTGTGCTTGTTTACAAATTCCTTTTCTGAATGACATGTAGGGGAAGCCGTCATATGTGTCATTATATGAATTACAGCCGGTTTGACGCTAGTTGGCTTGTGAGTGCTGGTCTTACTCAGGGAATGACCTGAGCTGTTTAGTCTTAAAAACTTTGTTTGAGTCTGACATGTGCAAGTTTGATAGTAGTGGACTGCGTGTTCAGACACTGACACCAAACAGATACACTAGTGCTCACTCTCAGCTAATTCCAGGGCAGTTCAAATTTTACATCTCTATTAAAATATTAGTGGACACAGTTTTTTTTAAATATGCATAAAATAAAGTAGGGCTGAATGAAGGCTGAGTAAATTTATGGTACATACTGGATTGCAAGAAATTCTTTGCAAAATGTGGTGACAATCGGGCATTATGGGATGGCATTTTGGTGTGATTTCCATTCAAGTTGTTTTAACATTTAAAGTGGGTCATAGGACTCTTAGGGTGGGTTTTATGGTGAAGCCTGATTCTAATGCCTGACTATTTCATAACCATTACGTTAACAATGAAAAGATTTAATGTTATTATACCAACCAAATCAAAATTACGGTTTAGGGTTAGGGTAAGTAAAAAGACTAGCACTTGTTTTTCTAGCTACAAAACTAAATGTAACACAATGTTACTTTCTCTCTCTCTTCTCATTTAAAATTGTGGTAAATGGGATAATTATCTTTATTTTGTATTTTCTGCTTAAATTCTAATTGGTAATTCTAATTTTTCCACACCTTGGCCTCCATTTAAAAAAAAAATCTATTGGGGGAAAAAAAAAAATCTATTTTGAGTTTTAATTGCTGTGCTCTGCTGATGTGTGTAGTTGTGTTAAAAAGTGCTGTGAGAGCTGTGATTGGAATACAGCCATGCCAGAGAGCTGTTCAACTGTGGGCTTTATAAAACAGTCTGAATAAATGGATAACCTTGAGGAGTAGTTAGTAGGGGAAGGCTGTTTTTATTGCTATTATTGCTAAACTCTGTTTATTTGACCTGAGCATAGAATTCAACTGTAGTGGCTTCAAGAAAAACATACAATAATGTTGGATTTTTTAAAACATGGTTCCCTTTGAGAGGCAGTTAAATTATTATTATTATTATTATTATTATAACACATTTTACACCAATGCACAAAAGACATAATAACGCACACAAACAAAAGGGAGAAAAAAAAAACATGATGCCAGTTACTGAGTATACAATTTGCATTTTACATATTTAATAATACAAAAGTTACATAGATTAGCCCATATAAAATCCTGCCTTCAACAGATTATTTTAAATACCTAATATTATTTTCACACGCAAGAAGGGGAAAAAGGAAAAAAAAAAAAAACACAATATAAATGAATCACTCCTTCACTTCAAAAAAACTAATGAAAGATGACCACATTTCCACATAAGATCTGATATTCTTCCTAGCTACAGCAGCCATCCTTTCCATTACTATGTATTCTAATAATACATTTAATCAATGGTTAATATTTAATTACTGCTTAGTTCCCTTTCAGTCGGTCACTCTCGACATCACGTCGGATGACCGACGAAATTGGGATCTCGCTTAGAGGGACCAATCTACTTCGAGTGTAAACTAAACGAGCCAATGCACATTGGCCTCTCTCTCTTCTCATTTAAAATTGTGGTAAATGGGATAATTATCTTTATTTTGTATTTTCTGCTTAAATTCTAATTGGTAATTCTAATTTTTCCACACCTTGGCCTCCATTTAAAAAAAAAATCTATTGGGGGAAAAAAAAAAATCTATTTTGAGTTTTAATTGCTGTGCTCTGCTGATGTGTGTAGTTGTGTTAAAAAGTGCTGTGAGAGCTGTGATTGGAATACAGCCATGCCAGAGAGCTGTTCAACTGTGGGCTTTATAAAACAGTCTGAATAAATGGATAACCTTGAGGAGTAGTTAGTAGGGGAAGGCTGTTTTTATTGCTATTATTGCTAAACTCTGTTTATTTGACCTGAGCATAGAATTCAACTGTAGTGGCTTCAAGAAAAACATACAATAATGTTGGATTTTTTAAAACATGGTTACCTTTGAGAGGCAGTTAAATTATTATTATTATTATTATTAGAACACATTTTACACCAATGCACAAAAGACATAACGCACACAAACAAAAGGGAGAAGAAAAAAAAAACATGATGCCAGTTACTGAGTATACAATTTGCATTTTACATATTTAATAATACAAAAGTTACATAGATTAGCCCATATAAAATCCTGCCTTCAACAGATTCTTTTAAATACCTAATATTATTTTCACACGCAAGAAGGGGAAAAAGGAAGAAAAAAAACCCCACACAATATAAATTAATCACTCCTTCACTCCAAAAAAACTAATGAAAGATGACCACATTTCCACATAAGATCTGATATTCTTCCTAGCTACAGCAGCCATCCTTTCCATTACTATGTATTCTAATAATACATTTAATCAATGGTTAATATTTAATTACCGCTTAGTTCCCTTTCAGTCGGTCACTCTCGACGTCACGTCAGATGACCCCATTCACTGCAGAGGGTGACCAAGGGATGTAATGTTACATTTCTTCAAATCTGTTTGGATGAAGAAATAAACTCATCTACATCTTGGATGGCCTGGGCGTGAGTACATTTTCAGCAAATTGTCATTTTTGAGTGAACTGTTCCTTTAATTTAATGTTACTTGACAATGCAAATATGAAAAATTAACTCCATGAAATATCTATTTAAAAGGAAAATAGTGACTATGATGTCATCTAGCCTGTGACTCAATGAAAACACAAGGTTGCTTTTCCTCATTTCTAACAGGTAGGGATGCTGTTCTGTGTATTGCATGCGCTGGCAGTGAAGAAGCACAGGAGAATTGGATCCGTGGAATAAAACTTTCTAACAATGGTTGTTTCGGCAGTTGTTGACATCAGCAGATGACATGCAGCAAAACATGTTATGTCTTGGACTGGTGAAGTCAAACAAAGCCAGTTCTTTTTTCCTTGAGTCTATTATTGTATTATGAAAGGAGGGTGCGGTAAATTCTTATGAGCGACATACTCCTTCACGCTCTGGCAGTCTTCTCTTTCTCTGTCCCTCATTTTCCTCTCTCTCCCATCCCACCTCAATCAACCTCATTAACGTTCCACATCCAGGAGCAAACCAAGCGTTCAGCTTTGAGAAGAGAGGACAAAGTAGCATGCTCTCCTGAGGAAAACACATTGACATTTTGTCAAGTCAGAGTGTTGGTCCAGCTTTCTTCCGTGGAACTGGGTTCATTTTAAAATGATGCCTTAATGAAGATTTTCTCCTGTTTTCCATCCACTATTTCTTCTCTTGAGTAGTTTTTTAAGATCCCTCAAAGTCTCTGTTCTTGTGAGGTACAGAATAAGCAGGGAGCTGTAGGCCATTTTATTCTACATGTTAAATTGCGCTTTGCTTACCCTCACATTGTGACTGTATATTGATGAAAAAAGTCCATATATCCCAGTGACCCTACAGAGGATAAGCAGTTTGATGAATATATGGATGGATAGACAGTCCGTATACGTATATCAGACTAGACCATATATACCAAATGTTGCAATTGTGAAATTCATGTACATTTTTAATTTATCATATCATTTCATGTAGTTTTTTAATAAAATTAATGCTAACTACTAGTTATCCACTACTAGAGGGGACTGTATAATACCACAGAAGAAGTGCTCTTGGGCAGTCAGGATTTTCCTATAGAGCAGTACATACTTGGAATACTATAGTATAATACTATACTATAATATAGAACTAAGAAATAAGAAATTTTCCTTCTTTTTCTGAATCGATAAAAGGGTGGTTATTTGATAATCAAACATGTCTTCATAATTTGAAGTACTGGTTTCTTGCTTGATTCTGGTTTTTATATGTAAAGTTTTTTTTTATGTTTAACTGTATATTGATGAAAAAAGTCCATACATCCCTGTGACCCTACAGAGGATAAGCAGTTTGATGAATATATGGATGGATAGACAGTCCGTATACGTATATCAGACTAGACCATATATACCAAATGTTGCAATTGTGAAATTCATGTACATTTTTAATTTATCATATCATTTCATGTAGTTTTTTAATCAAATTAATGCTAACTACTAGTTAGCCACTACTAGAGGGGACTGTATAATACCACAGAAGAAGTGCTCTTGGGCAGTCAGCATTTTCCTATAGAGCAGTACATACTTGGAATACTATAGTATAATACTATACTATAATATAGAACTAAGAAATAAGAAATTTTCCTTCTTTTTCTGAATCGATAAAAGGGTGGTTATTTGATAATCAAACATGTCTTCATAATTTGAAGTACTGGTTTCTTGCTTGATTCTGGTTTTTATATGTAAAGTTTTTTTTTATGTTTATGACTGTTTGCTGGAATGTCTGTTCTTTATATACTTGTGGACTTTGGTTTTTACCATCAACCTGCCAGAGACTTCAGATAAATAAAC